GGGGACGGCCTCGTACCTGGTGCAGCAGGAAGGTCCCTGTGCACGGCATGCCGCCACGGTGGTCCACCACTGCAGGGATGTAACTGGCGGGGAGAGAGGTCTGAGGCCAGGGCCTGCCCCCTCCCCACCCTCCCGCAGCAGACACGTGGCCCCGAGGTGAACGCGGGGTGGCCCGGTCCACGGAGACCAAAGTCGGCTGGGCAAGGAGCCCACATGTGCCACCTCAACCTGTCCCTAGGGCCCCGTCCTCCCCCCACCACAGCCCCCGGGGACTACGGCCCATCCCCAGCGCGGGCATTGGACTCACTCGCCGTTGGCCTCCAGCTCGCAGATCTCGAAGTAGACTAGCAGGTCGTACTTGCAGTGGCAAGGCCCGGGGCACGGCCGGGTCAGCGTGCTGAGCTTGGTGGCAGGCACTGGGGAGGGGGCGAAAGGAGAGGGCTCGCTGGAGGGGGACGCCGGGCTTGGGGACACCTCGACGGCAGCGAGCGAGGGCACCTCGCTCCAAGAAAAACGAGCCGCAGACCCCGCCCCGCGCCCAGGAAGTGCCGATACTGGGCTCAGTCAGGCCTCAGCAGCCACATGCTGGCTCAGGAATGGATGTGACGCTTGCTTCTCCGTGCCCAGGGGAGGCAGCAGGTGGCCGCACACACCAGCCCCTCGAGAGGGCCCGGGCTTGAGACACACAGAACCAGCAGGGCAGCAGGAGCCAGGCTGGCGCAGAGGCCACCACCTGCCCAGGACCCTCTGCCACACCACGCTTGGCCACTGCCTCCTGCACCAGTCCGAGCACTTTGTTCCAGCACAGGTGAGTCCCGTCCCTCAGGTCCCACTGGCCCTCCGCGCGGATCCAGCTCCTGACAAACAGGCTCAGACGGCCCTGAGCCCCACTGCAGCCCCAGCCCCCTCATTGCCTGCTCCCCGGGCTCCCATGCTGCATGGGGCCCCCAGACCCTGGGAGGGCAACGACCCACCAGAGGACTGTGGTCAGCTGCGGGGGGCCCACCCACACTGGCACCCAGCGCACGGGCGCTGCAGCCCCCAGGGTGCCCCCTGTGGAGCCTACCTGGCTTGGACAGCGGCATGAGCCGTGGGGAATGGCGGCGAGGGGGCCTCAGGGGGCTGTGGAGGAAGCTGGAGTGAGGCTGGGGCCCGCGGGGGCCTGAGCCAGAGCGGGCAGCCGAGGGCAGGCGCTGGCGGGGGCCAGTCAGCAGCACTGGGAGACGTCCTGGTCGCAGGCCCTCCCCCAGCTTGGGAACCCCAGGCCCACCCGGGGGGCCCCGCGAGGCCACAAAGACAGGGGCGAGGTCGGGCTCCGGTTGCAGGAACTTGCAGGACAGAGCCTCCCTCAGCACCTCCAAGGACAGACACGCCTCCTGGGGCCAAACGCCCCCAAACCAGCGGGTCCCGCGGCCTTCTCTGTCCCTGATGCCCCGGACGCCCCGCCTTGCTCTGAGGGAGGCGGAGACGGCAGCGGAGCGTCCCAGGGTCCTGACCCCCACCTGTTCTCCCTGCACCTGGATGGTGATGGCCGGGAAGGGTCGGTCTGGCCACAGAGGGGCACTCAGCCGGCCCTCCGAGCCCCGGGAGGCGGGGTGCAGCGAGAGAGCGGGCGCATGTCCCCCCGCTCGGTCTGGGCGCTAAGGGCTGCGGGAGGCGGTGTGGCGGGTCCTCTGTGGGTTCTCGGCCGCAGCAGAAGCCACCCCTCCCCGTGCCACCCGCCGTCCTCCAGCTTCCCTCGCCCAGGACAGCCACACCCGGACAAGGGCAGGGTTCCGACAGCCGCACTCTTTGAGAATCCCCCGCCTCGGTCCTGAGGGGACGTCTGACTTGCTCTGGGTCCTGCTGACCTCCATGACCGGCCTCCCCTTGGACGGGGGAGGCAGGTGCACAAGCCCGGAGAGGCCAGTCAGGCCTGTCGGGGCCAGGGGTCGGCCTCGCGGCTGGGAGGTTGGGGGGCCGTGCTCGGCGGGCCGCAGTGGGGCTGGATGAGAGCCATGAGGGGCCCAGGAGCCCATGACCCAGGGCCACTGACCTGAGCACGTCCTTGCAGAGGGGCGGGAATGGATGCTGCTGGTAGTGGCCGAAGACCTCGAACACAATGGGCTGGCTCCTGATGTACTCGATGAAAGACTTGGTCACCTCCACGGCGATCTGAGGTTCCAGGCGGGGCAGAGACTCAGGAGAGTGCTGGGCATCCGCGGAGAGCCAGGCGCTCCAGGCCCAGGGGGACGCCCCACCGGGCCCGACCCCAGCCCACCACGGGGACAACGCTCCTGCTTGTCCCCCATCACACACCCAGTGGACAGATCACCAGGTGTCTCTCCCCAGGACAGATAGGGCCAAGGCCACAGGGCTCAGCTGCCTTTTCAAAACACGGTGCTCAAGAAGGTAACGAGGGCCTCCTTGTCACCTGCGGTGTGGTCTGACCCTTCTCAGGCCCTTGCCCACTCCCTGTTATAGATTGAACTGTCCCCCCCGCCCTGCCCAGTGCCTGTGTTTAGAGATAGTCTTTACAGAGATAACCGGTTAGAACGAGGGCTTTGGGGTGGCCCTAACGCAATACGACAGGTGGCCTCATGAAACGGGAGGTCGGGGCACAGACAGGCACAGAGGGAAGACCACGTGGGACGCAGGGAGAGGACACCGTCTGCAAGGCTCCCCGCAGGAGTGCTCCGGCTCCCACGGCCCCACCCCTGCTTAAACGCACCGCAGCCCTGGCACCAGCACAGGCCCGGACGCCTGCCTGGTGCCGGGGGCCCTGTGTCCTCACGCCCCGGCAGCGCCCGGCACGCGGCTGGTACCCAGAACGGGGAGGAGAAATGAGGAAGAGGATGAACGAAGCTGCTTTGGGGCCAGAGGCCTGAGCGGGCTGCCAAGGAGGGGGGTCAAGGGGGGGCTCTGAGGACGTACGTTCTGGACGTGGTAGAAGCCGAGCGGGGGGCCCCGCCCCGTATTCTTCAGGGGCTCTGTGGAGAAGGCCTCGTCGTGGCGATGGATGAAGCTGCAGAGCGGGAGGAGACTGTTGGCCGGGGCCTTGGGGTGCATGGCCCTGGCACAGCCCGTGTCTCACTGAGCCCGCCCCACGGCCCGCCAGCCCCAGACTCACTTAAACTGGCAGAAGATGTCGGCGTACTCGGCAGAGATGCTGGAGGCCTGCAGCACGGTCACGCGGAAGGTGAAGGTGCTGCCCAGGCGCAGGCAGTCCAGGGCGGCGTCCAGGGGCCCGTCCAGGGCGGCTTTCTCGGGGCTGCCCAGGGGCAGGCCTTCCGGAGGCACTGCTGCTGGGAGCCAAGGGCACAGGCACATGGTGAGACCCTGGGCCCTGGAGCCGGGGTCAGGCCCAGGCCGCGGTGGGGAAGGGGCCGACCCGCCTGTGCAGGCTGAGACGGCGGGGCCTCAGGCCCCCACGGGCCGGGTCCCAGGGCCCCACGCCCCAGCAGCCCACCTGAGCAGGTGTTGTTGTTGACCTCATCAGCGGAGGGCCCTGCATCCACGCCCTGGCCCTGCCCTTCCACGATCCGCAGCTCTTCCTGGGAGGCCCCGGAGCGGGTCAGCCCCACCACGGGGCAGGACTCGGACTGGAACTGGGTGGGGCGGGAGCCAGAGTCAGGGGGGCCAGGGCTCTTCACTGACCTGCGTCCACACCCACCTGGCCTCAGTGTCCCGGGCCCTCACGGCCTGTGTGGACTCCATGATGGGAAAGGCCTCCAGCTCTGCACCCTCCCTCAGTCCCCGCCCCCTGGGCAGAACACCTCTAGCCTCGGCTTGGCGGGTGGGGTCTGCGCCCTACCCCACCCCGCCAGTGCCCCTCGGCTCGAGCTCTCTGCCCTCAATGCTTCCGTGCACCCCAGCACTGGTGAGTCCCCTGAGAGAGGGACTGTGGGGGCAGACACAGCACCCTGGGCTTGAGGACTCAGGCACTGAGGTTCAGGGCCGGGTGGGGCCAGGGTGGGGAAGAGCCTGAGGGAGAGAGGCAGAGCCAGCCACCAGTGGAGAACTAAGCGCCTGGCTGGTAAGGGCCCTGGGCGGGACCCTGCTGCTCCCCTACGCCCCCACGGACAGCAACAGGGCCCTGGGGAGAAGGCACTGTCCCTTCACGTGAGGGGAGAGGGGGCAACACCTCGTTTTTGGTACCAAAGCAGGGCCACCCCAGCACCTGCTGCCAGGACCTAGGGGGGCCTCTCCAGGGGCCTTCCTAGTTCTCAACAGGATGTCGGGGTGGGGAGCAAGGACAGTGGTGGAAACGCAGTGTCCCACAGGGACCTTGAAGGGGAGCCACATGGCGGGGCATCTCGCTATGGAGCCACCTGAGGTTCTGGGAGCCCATGGGCCCCTCTGCTCTGTGCCCCTGCCTGCGGCTGAGGGCCAGGTGGGGAAAGCAGGCACGAGACCAGAGGAGGCTGCGTGGGAGACGGACCGACCCAGGCGGTCAGGGCCAGTCAGAAAGCCAGGGACAGGGCGGCCGTAAGGCTCGGGCCAGGGACACGAGGGGAGGACCCGGGGCGCAGGAGCGGGGGCACCCCGGCTTGGGCCGCAGGTACGTCAGTTGGCGCTGGGTGGCTGGGCCCACTCCGCACAGTACCTTTTCGAAATGTTGGTCGTCAAAGGAGATTTTGGCAGTTCCCGACTGGCGGACACCGGAGCCATAATCAGGGGCCTCCTCGTCGGCTGAAATAGGGACCGAGAAGATGGTCAGGGCCCTGCCTGTCCCCAGGTGGCAGGGCACAGGGAGGGCGTGGAACCAGGCCATGCTCCGACCCCCGGGGGGGTCTCCAGCGCTGCCAACCACCGCGGGTCCCGGGGACTCAGCGGCACGGTGACATGACGAGGAGCTGCCTGGGAATTCTGGGCGATGGGGTCCTCGGGGTGAGGGCTGCCCCGGCTGCCAGGGAGACTGAGGTCCCCGGGGGGCTGTGTTGGAGTGCCGGGCCGGGCCGGGCCGGGCAGGGGGGCTGGTGGCCATTACAGTGCGAGCTTCGCCCAGCCACCTGAGCACACTCACATCGGAGTTCTAGAATGATCTTTCACACTCCTATTGGTGGGAAGTTCAAGATGGGTAAGAGTAGGGAGCCAACCAGGCCCCGAGACGCCATGGCTGGCCCGTCCTGGTTCCCCGGCCAAGGGTAGGGAGCAGTGATGGGCGTCTGCTCTGCAGCGAGGGGCTTGAATCTCCAAGCCCACAGTGGACGGGGGGGTCAGAACAGATGGAGCAGGGGAGCAGCCTGTCCTGGGGCTGAGAGATGGCAGCAAGGGACACACTAAGAGACACACTAGGCTGCTCCGCCCCCAACTGGACCGTCTGTGTCCTCCGGGGCCTGATGGAGCGAGATCTCTGAGCCAGAGTGGGGCTCAGGCAGCCCTGGGCACAGCCTGGTCAACATGGGAGAGTCCGGGAGGCCCGGGCCAAGGGCGAGCCAGCAGGGTCCTCCTGGAGTCCCCACCTGGGGCCAGGGCAGGGGCTGAGAAGCAGCACAGGCCGGGGGCTGGGCAGGGCTGGCTGCGTGAGGCCCGTGTGACGCCGGCAGAGGCCTCCCCACCAGGGCCCCCACACACCTGAGATGGCCTGGACGGCCACACGGAGGAAGCCCTTCACCTCGCCCTTCTCGCTGACGATGGCCACGCGGTGCACCAGGGGCACGGGGTACAGCAGGTTGCTCAGGTACACGAAGGCCCTGCGGAGAGAGGCTGAGTCAGCGCCAGCCTGGCGTGTTGGGAGCGGGGCCAGTGACAGCACAGCCGAGCTCATGACAGGACACTGCGAAGCAGAGCTGAGCACAGGGCACCGGGCAGCAGGCGGGGGGGCGGGG